TACAATTAATGCTGCTGATTAAGGCATTCCTCCCCGTGGTCTCTATATGATTATTAAGTTACACGTGAAGAAACTGGGAGACAGAGAAATCGTGATTTATCCCGGGGCACGTGACGAATTGATTGTACTGCTAGAAACAATCCTACGTTAGAAAAACAAGGGAGAGCCAATGTGGGAGCTAAGTATTTGTTGGCAGAGCTTTCAAGAGAAGCAAACAGAGGAATTTGGTCTATCCCTTGGCAAAAATCTGTCATTTCAGTTGCTTGCAGGTAAATTCGATGCTGTACAAGTTTAAGTTTACTGCAAGTACTATTTGTTGGAAGTAAAGAAGCAGCGCAGCCCGTTCCAGCAATGGTTTATTACCTAGATTTCAGTATCTGCTGAAATACCACTGGAAATACTGTTTTTAGAATTTCAGACTCAAGAAGACAATTTGGCTTGGTTTTGACCAGTCCTGATAACCAAATATTTGTTATTTTTGAAGCAGAGAATGCCATGTCTGATGGATAACTTGGTATAGAATCCAGTCAGTGTGGGTGACATCCACGGGGTGTTTTGGAGTTTTTTGGCATTTTCTTGTTTTTGTTTTTTTTTAATTAAGCTAGCAAAATTGAAGGACTTCTACCCAGTTTTAATTTTGAGACCCCTTGGTTGTTTCTTTTCTAGTATCTTTTGCACTGACCAGATAAACTATTCATGCCTGTTTATACCTTACCCCAAAAAGCTGTTAGCATGTTAGAATTTTGACAGGCAGCAGCCTTTGGTGCTTCTCATTTCTCTCGAGGTACCTCTAATGGCAAAATATTTTGAAATCTTGAAATCCAAAGGAAAGCTGAAGGAAGGCTTCATTCCCATGCCTGTGCTGTATTTCAGATTGCCATATGCAATGGACACTGATCTCAGTTCCCAGGACAGGAAGGACCTGGACAAGTTCATCAAATTTTTTGCTTTAAAGGTAACTTTTTCTACTTCGGGCAAATTCCTATCCTTTCTTATTTAAGAAAAGCCATATCTGCTCTGTCTAGAGAAACAGGGTTGGGGTTCTTTTGTTTGTTTTTGCTAAAGACCAAGAAAACCTGATGGCAAATCTGGGAGATTCCTGAGAATAACTAGAAAAACATCTTTTCCCCTTTTTTTTTTTTAACCTTCAAATCCTGCTGTAGAATCTGTTTAGAGGCACTTCACACCTCAGTCAGATTTGGGCTCTTACCAACACATCCAGCTGTTGGGTAGTATCTTCTGTTGGACTCCACTCTCTCTTTCCAGCCTATCTAAATTTTTGCATTGCATCTGAAAGCAGTAACAGAAGAATGTTCTTTTGAATTATGTTGATAGGTAATTATAAAATTTGGCCTCACTTGCTACATAGATGCAAGTAGCTACTCTGACAATGACTACGTTATAAAAGTACAGATGCACTTGACTCACGTTTGTGTGTCCAGTCTCAGGATATAGTTGTAAGTTTTGCTTAAGTATTCCCAAAATCTCTGCAACTCCTGCTCACAAAATTGACTTAGTCACTTCGTGTCATTACCGAGAAAGGTCAGCTTAAAATTATTTTCTGTCTGAAATAGCTTTACCTGTTATATGTAATACTTGAAGTTGATTACACCTGAAGATTAGCCT